AGTCCTGCTTAATCCTCTTGTTAAGCTCTCTATAGTCTACACACAAGCGTAATGAGCCATCCTTTCTCTCAACCAACACGATCGGAAATGCTCAATCCGACTTTCCTTTTTCAATGATTTCCCACTTTTCTAGGTCTTTCAGCAAGTTCCTTAGCTTGGGTATGACACTTAGCGGTACTGGTCGCGTCTTGAGCTTCACTGGACTGCTTTTGCCCGTATCTATGTCCATTTCTGCTATTATAGTCTGCGTAAGCTCATTGTCGGCGAATACGTCATTGTAGTCATCCAGTAGGCGTTCAATTTCCCCATCCGATATTCTACCTTCGGCATTTTCTTTCACTCAACTCATGTAGTAGCCTTTTCTTCTCATGTTCCTCCATGTGGTACTCATTCGGGATGAAAGCCAAGGGACCCATATTGACCAGCTTTTCTCTCCATCTTTCGTTACCCCAGTGCCCAATCTCCTCATTTTCCTTGAGTATCATAGGTGTATCTTTGTCATTTATTACAGGTACTACAGCTTCGTTTCTGGAGATTGCCATGAGACCGCATTCTACTCATGGTTTTTTGTGACCAGAAAACTCTCTCATCATTGTCGGTTGTGGTGGTTTCACACCGGACTAGCACTCTTCCTTCGGTATGTGGTGGTACATACGCTCTTCTCGTTACTTTGGCCATATCCTTGACGTGCTTGTCTGATCTGTCTTGAGGTTCGCCCGATATCGACAATGTCACGCCCGATATCGACAATACCACGCCCAGCTTCTCCAGCGTGTTCATTCCCAGTATGATGTCTTCCTGGCCCTGATCAGTTATATGAAACAAGACCTCACTATGTAATCCCCCTTCTAGATGCACCGGAATGCAGAGTCCTTCCAATATGCGCATTTGGTTGTTTGAAGCATCGTACACTGGTCGCAGATCTTTGACTCGTACGGTTTGTGAGGCATCCACGTCATATCCTTGTTTTTGCGCTTCTCTTAGTAACCCAGCTGATATAAGGCTAATCATGGAGCCTCTGTCCAGGATCGCCGGTTTGAGCATATTCATTATCCTTACTTCCCGTACAACTGGTTGTCCTATCCGTTTGGTGTCCGCTGCTGTGCTTTCATTGATGCCAACTGTGCAGCTTCGTATGTGATTGATGATTTCGGATACGTTATTCCCATATGCGGGTTGCGCTGCTCTTCCCTATTCTGTTTCCTTGGGCAGTCTCTTGCAAAATGCCCTGTTTGAAGGCAGTTAAAGCACCTGGGATCCGTTCTTTGTTTCAGGGCCTCTGCAGGGCCTTTCTTCCGCGGTTTGCATTGTCCTGCCTTCTTGTGTATACTGGATGGTCGAACTACTTTGCCGCCTATCTACCCTCGCAGTGACATGAATTACTGTTCTGGGTACTTGTGGTTCTTTCCAGCTACCCATCTTGCTCAAAACGGTGCGCGGCTTATTTTCCCAAATTTCTTTTGCCCTCTGTATGCTGATCGCTAACTGCTTCACTTCGCTGCATGCTTCGCTAGGCGGTACCCTATGTAACATTGCTACCAAATGAACGTATTCGGGCCAATTCCTTAAGTTATCTAGAAGGGTCCCCGTACTCTACCGAGTTTTCCTCCAAGGCTCTGTCTGGTTGAGCCGATCCACCTATTGTCCAAGGCAACGCAGAATTGCGACATCTTGGTGTGGTCTGATCCTGAGCGATCTTAGCTCAGCTAAGGCCCTCATCCTACTAGCTACCGAATCCCCTGCTAGCAATTTTCCCAAATCTTCGATCACTTTATCAAACCCCTTATTTCTTATAGTGGGTGCTAATGTTCTCATGACATTCTTTGCCTGCCCACCCAAGTGATTTTCAGCTAGTATATCTATAAGGGTGTCTGTGTCTGTGATTACTTTAGAGTACTTTCTTTTGAATTTTCTTACGAATTCCCCAAAATTTTCATTCGCCTTTCCATAGAAAATCCCCGGATCTGGACAAGAGAGGGACTGCACGCAGTTCAGGAATCGCAAATCATTTTGCTAACCTCTTAGTTGCACGTCCTTGTCCCTTGAATGCGAACTGAGTGATCCCGACACAGAGTTGTTCCAGTTTTGTTCGAACAGCGCTCCAGTCTGCCTTAGGTTGCACCGTTGGGACTGTAAGATATCTTTTTGATAAGCAGTCGTTTCTATGTTTTTTGCAACTTGCATTGACTCACCCTGCTTACTTTTCTCCGCATCACCTCTTTTCTGTTTGAGGTCTCGAATAGCGGTTGGCACCTGAAGCATCAATATTCAGTATATTGCATACTTGCGCCAAAATCTCTCTGTTCCTCTCAGCCATCCTCACAAACTCTCGCCAGTCTTCAACTGATTGTATGCCTGTTGTTTTCATGGCTTCAGACATGTCGTCTTTTTCATCCCATTCATTGCGGCACTGTGTAACCACTTCCTCAAGTTCCTCACTCAGCTCTTTCACTTTCTCACTTATGAACATCTTGTATTTCTCTTTTTACCTCGAGGAAATCTTATGCTCCAGCATTTCGTTCGCTATCTCCTCTGGCACATTTTCTAGCTGTTTTCTTACTCTCTCTATCTTTTGCTCCACACTATCTCTTGAATAGATACTTACATTTTCGGTATCCATTTGGTCGTCCCTTGAATGAGCTTTTTGCTCAGTTCCATGCTCTTTCTGCAAAAAATTGTGTTAGTTGTTCCCTTTCTTTACGATACAACGAAATCTCACAGAAGTCCCTCACATCAACGAGTCGCCCTTACGTGCGGGGACGATCACTCAAAATATTGATTTGCAGAAAAGTGCGGCTCGGCCCAAGGCATAGTCGCGCGGGACCGATGCTGGGTGATACAGCCTATATATTAG